CATTTGCAGTGAATGTTTGGATCCTTTCGACAAACCGGAATGTGAGCATTGATCTGTCATCAATGAGGTCGTTTGTGTTGGCAAAGGTAAAATCTCTCTCCATTTTATGTTTGGGTAATGTCTTGGAGTGCAGCTAAATAATTCTACTTGAGATGATAGTTGTTGCTTGTTAGGCCATACCAGAGCAATTATGTGATCATCTGTCCAATGATCGTTGAATAGATATCTCTTCGATTAGAAAGGGAGAATTTAAGACTGTAACCCTTTAGAGATCCTGTTGCGCACATTTGTTTATCTTGACTATAATATAGTACAAGCTGTTCCATGCCTCTTATTGCTGCTGTTCTGAAAACTGCATACAGGATGCCCATATTCATGCGTTGAAAGAGCTCCTCATGCCTTTTCTTACGTTCCTTCAACCGTAACAGCTCGTGCAACTTCTCAAGGTTAGATGCCCATTTTCTTGGATTATTTTATATCCATATGAGATATTATCTTATCTAGAAACGACAGGGAAGACATATAATGAGTCAAGAAATTAATGATTTAAATTTTACTAGGAAAGAAGGGAGAATAGTATGAGTTCTAACATTCTGTAAATTATAGGATAGAAAACCACCTATTCTGTTATTATTTTCTCTCTTCATTTCTTTCTCTATGTTTAACACAGTTTGAGTTAACCAGGATACGGTGAAGATTATCAAGTTCAGCTTGCAGTTGGTCAATGCCCCAGAAATTGTATTCATTATGTTACACCTTCGCAGAGGATTATTCTCGAAGAGTTACTTGATAGGTAAGAGAAACCTCCCTCCCGGAAAACTCTGTTGTTTCTTTCAAGTAGCTACAAGTGATTTGAACTTACACTGCTCATGTTATTCAGAAGTGCAGAAATAGTAAGCCTTCTTGTAGCTTTTATCACTTTCTTCTGTTGGCTATTTACCCATGGTTTTAACAAGTGTTCTGGTTCTTATACCATTAAGTAATTATGATATATACCACTAATCATCTGCGTAGTTTCCTTTTATCTTGTAGTATCCTGAACAGACCTTATGATACTTCATCCGAGGCAGACTTACTTTATTCTCTCATTGTCAAAGCTAAGTTTGAGAATAATCGGTATCAGAAACCAAAGAAGCAACCCAAATCTTCAACTAAACACGTTGATTTCTTCTGATGTGAAAATTTTTCTGCCATTATGCTGGTTAGAGCCTTTGGTTTTGAACACAAAGGTCTTGATCTTTCTGTTCATACTTAAAACGTTTTGACTGAGGGAGATCATACCAGAAGTATTCCTTGTATTTTCTTAATGTAATTATTATTTGTTATATAGAATGTTCAGGAATTATTAACAGAAATCATATCCTCTGATTCTCTTATTTTGCAAATCTACTCCACTGACTAGTTTCTTCATCTTATACATGCCAAAAGATTACAAGTCATATATATATATATATATTATGATCAGCCCTAATTAGGCTCCAAAAAGTGATACAACAGAGTATTATTTTAAAATGGCTTTCATGAACGTAAGACGATTCATGAAAGCCATTTATATTGATTTCTTCTGATGTCAAGCCAAAAACAAAATCTTGAGACCATTTATATTGGATACAAGCTTTAATTGATTTTTAGATGTGTGATTTCGTGAGTATTGTTATGAAGTAGCAATTCATCCATTATGCTTTGATTCTCTTCCCGGGTTAAACAAGGTTGAATTTGTAGCTTCACCAGTATAGCATACCTTATGGGTTAAATTTTGCTTCTCTGTTAAACTGGAAGACAAAGGGGATCTACAAGCCTCAGGAACAGTGTTGCCTTGGTATGCCTTGCAGATATATGATGCAAAATTATTATAATCCTGCATCCAAACAAACCCTTCAATCAATTAAAAGATTATCGATTAGGTCTGACTTGTTTCTAGATTTTCTTGGGTTCATAGACAGTTACACCGTAGAGTGGCTGATTGTTTACTGTCACCCACGGTACAAATGTACGCGGTGGATTTAAACGATCAGTTTCACTGCCATATTGGAGGACAATCTGCAGTCGAGTGTAATTAGTCAGACCTCAAGATTGAAATAGAACAAGAATCTGAAAGTGAAAATCAACAAAATTTAGATTGAAGAGTTAGACAACTCGAGTTTGAATTATATTGGAGTTACCTTTTTTCCGTATCCACTCACGTAGCAATCTTCAATAGCTTTC